ACCGCAGTTCAAAATATATGAACTTCATATATTCATTGTATCTGATTTATCATCACGGGTTTATTACGAATCAACTTAACGGCCTGCTCCCAGTTGGCTTGTTAGCTCAATTGGTAGAGTGCTGCACTAGTATCGCAGAGGTCAGTGGTTCGAATCCCGTACAGGCCTGATTTTTTTCAGGTCTGATTTTCACTATTTCATAAATAGCGCTATCTACTGGGAAGGATCGTGCATCATACGTATTTAAAACCGCAGTTCAAAATATATGAACTTCATATATCCATTGTATACCAACTAATGTAACTCATACACTTTCTATGTAACTACAGGTACCAAGCCAAACTGCACCAATCAAAATTAATTCAGAAAGAAAGCTACTGTAACAGTACAAAAGCTCAGCACTGTCATTAAATGTCAGACCACATAAAGTTGTTCAGAGAGCAAAATGGTTGATCACAAATAGCAGCTTAAAAAGAGATGAAGATATTAGTCTTTGATAATTAAAGACTGGGTTGATAAGTACAATGTAGAAATTGTTCAAGATGAAATTCATAACAATGACAGTTCACAATCAGAATCAGGTGATAAAAATGCTCACAGCAATAGCAGTTCTGACATATTAGACAACAACGACTTAAGTGAAGGTGAAGCAAAAATGCCTGCAGGTGTAATTGAGAGTATATGTTAACAGCAACTTAAGAAGATAGTGAATGGCAGAATATTTTAAACATAGCTCCAGCTGAAGGCAATAGACCATTGAGCATTTTTAGAGTGAAATATTATGAAGAATTAGCATATCCTGGTATATTTCTTGGTCTAAACCAAGATCAGACACTACATGTAAGCATGGAAAAGACATTGTTAACTAAAGCGACATTTGTAAATCAGAACTTAGATGATCTGATAGATGCGCTACAATGTGTGTGGAAAATATTTTCTTTAAAACAAAAGAGCTACAAATGAAAATCCGTTTGGGAAAGTCACATATTTCTCTTAGAAAAGGCAAAGGAAATAGTAGGAATATCAATGCAGGGCAATTGAAGCAGCAGGGGGTCATAGATTAATTCTTCATAATTAGGGATATTAAATGCATTGAGAGGGTCACCTCCATACTTTGAAAAAGCCAAGCGAGATCTGTTTGCTATGATAAGACAGCTAGGATCTGCTACGCTGTCTTGTTAAGTTTCTTGTCGGCAGAAACACAATGGATTCATTTACTTAGAATACTTGGTCAACTTGGTGATAATAAATACTGTACAGATGAACAAATTAATAGAGGGTTTGACCTGGGAGGACAGGTGTGGCTTAATTCAAAGTGACCCTGTAACATATGCACGGCATTATGACTATCAAGTTAATCAGTTTCTAACAAACTTCTTGTTGAGCTCTACTGATTACCTTTAGGCAAAATATCAGATTGGTTTTTACAGAGTAGAATATCAACAGAGAGGGTCACCTCATATACACACGCTTTTGTGGATTGAAGGAGCACCTCAGTTTGAAATAGATAGTGATGAAGAAGTGACAGTATTTATTGATAAGATAATTGATTGTCATAATCCAGGACATGATCTTAAATCATTTGATCTTTTAAAGACTAGACAAGTACATCGACATTCACATACTTGTCGTAAGAATACAAGTCAACGTAGATTCGATTTTCTTCAGCCTCCTGTGAAGCAAACTAATTGATTCTTTATCCCTTAGATAAAGATATCCCTCAAGGCAAAATAAAGACACTGTCAAAGAAAATTGGAAAATATCAAAATTTATTGACATGATATGATAGAAGGTGAAGATATGTCATTTAATCAGTTATGAGTATCACCGAAGAAAACTATTAACTGGCCATATGTTCATCTCTTAACTCTCGTACTGTGTTTTTAAAATGATATCCAAATGAATTGCAATCCTGCGTGAATTATAATCCTGCTTGCCTGAGTGGGTGGAGAGCCAATATGGATATACATTATGTATTCGATGTGCATGCATGTGCAATATATATATAGTAAATTGCAAAAAGGTCAAAAAGGTATGAGTGAACTGTTACGACAATTTTAGCCTGTGCCAAAGCATGACAAGGAAATCACAGCATTAAACAACAATTCAGAGATATTGGAATTAAAGTTCTTAACAATATATAAAGCAGTGCACAGGAAACAGTGTATATTGTATTACAATTACCTATGAGAAGGGCATAAGGCAAATCATTAATTTTTATCTATTAATACTTCACCTTTTGATGAAAGAGTGAAACTTTTAAAACCAATTGATGATATTGAAATATGGATGATGATAGTGAAGCAATCTATACTTCTAGTGGTTTGTTGAAGCAATATTGTAAATGCCCAGCAGAACTAGAAAACCTTACATTATTTTGTAGACTGGGCTGCATGGTGTGATAGAACTGGGAAACCAATAATGTAAAACAAACAAATGAAGGAGATGTTGATGGTCTCCCACTAGAAACCTTTACTGATGATCAAAATGAAGATGATAATGTTGAGTGTACAAAGAGTACTTGTAGCAAAACGAATAAGCAAACAAAATTAAAGCTAGGATACTAAGAAGTGTGTGGTACAATAAGGAAGGGGAACCTGAAAAACATTGAGAACTAATAATGCCATTTACTCCATAGAGAAACAAAGAAACTGACTTGTTAGGAATATATGTTCATTATACCAAGAACACTCTATGTTACTTTATAATGTAATCAATGAACAAATGAAACAATATGCTGTCAGAAATGAAGACTTAAATGAAATCTAACAAGAAATGAGTATAATAGAAGATATATAGATACAGTAATATAGCACCTTGTACACAAAGTATTAAACAACAGTACCAAGCTGAAGGTAATCAGGACTTGCATCCTGACTTTAATGAAAGCTATAATCTGTCAAATGATTTAGGAATACCTTCAGTTGATAAAACTGAACCTTTCATAATGAATGAATTACAAGGTGATGAATTTAGACATATGGTGCAAATGTTGAACAAAGAACAAAAGGAATTCTTTATTATGTTCTTCATCTTCTACAAACATCAGATGAACCATTTAACTATTTCCTAACTGGAGGTGCAGGTGTAAGTAAATCACATGATACCAAGGTTTTGTATCAAGCAGGATTGAAATGCTATAATATGCTAGACCTGATGTCAACTTTGCTGAAACAAAAGAGTTAATTTCAGCACATACTGGTGAAGCAGTTTATAATATCAAAAGCAACACTATACACAGTGCACTTGCAATACCAGCTAGTCAGTCAATGAAGAAATACAAATACCTTGATTCAAGTAGATTAAATACACTAAGATGTCAACTTGAAGGGGTTAAACTAGTATTTATAGATGGTAGGAAACTGCAGTGTGTTCAATGTACAAATCAACAATAGACTTAAAGACAACAAAGGTAGCTCGCTGCCTTTTGGTGGGGGTGGTATATTATTGCTACTGGTGATTAATTTCAATTACAACCTGTAATAGATGGTTATATTTTAAATATATATGGATAATGATGAATATGGTGTTCTTGCTCCTAATATATCTGCCAAGAACTTTTTACAATGTTTGAACTCAAACAAATAATGAGGCAAAGAGAAAGTAAACTCTTTTCTGAAATGTTAGACAGGCTAAGAGAATCGGAAAATGAACAACAGAAGACGTTAATAAATTTAAAGAGAAGGTGATTGCTAACGCAAGTCTAAACTATCCAAAATATGCACTACATCTCTTAATTTATTCAAAATGCAAAAGTGAATGAGTTCAACAACGTAGCAAATAATGCTTTTATCAGGAACTAAATGTTCTATAAAAGCACATGACAGTGTCATTGGAGCTGATTCAGAGAAATAAATACTTAAACTAGTACCCAATGATCCCAGAAAAACAAAACAATTGCATTCTTTTCTTAAACTATCGCAGTAGGAAAAAGACCTGAGATATTTCTTAACACTAGAATAGATGATGGTATGATAAATGGTGCTGGTAAGGTTATCAAGTTATTACAAAATTAATACATCACACAAACAAACCATTAGGCATAATATGGACACAGTTTGACCATGCATGCATGCTTATGTTGGTGAGAAAACCAGACATGACAATTAATAGACAGTTGCATGTCCAGGGTATTGATCCAACATGGACACTAATCAAGCCTGTTACCTCACAGTTTGCTGTAGGCAGGACAAGATCAGTACATAAAGTTGTAAGAAAACAATTTCCATTAAGACCTGCTGCTGCTAAAACCATCCATTGATCACAAGGTGATACTGGGACTTAAGAATTGTTGTGAATTTTGAGGCTAGAAGAGCAATTCCTCACATACATTTTGTTGGGTTAAGTAGAGTTACCACTATGGATGGTCTTTATATCGCTGATCTGTGTGAAAACACTATCATTGTTAGTGATGATGTGAAAGAGAAATGCATCGTTTGAGAACTGAAGGGCGGTTAATTATCTCTTTCAGTAACTCCTATGTATAAAGCACCTCAAATTTCTTTTACAGCATGTTTTCTAAATGCAAGATCTTTGCACAAACACATAAAAGATGTGCGTAAAGATATGAATTATTTAAGTAATGATGTTAATATTTTCTTATAGAAACAAAATTGACATAAATTGAAATAAATAGAAAACAACAGTTACTCACTGTTTAGAAATGATGCCCCACCAAGTCACATTCACAAAACATGTGATCCTTTGGGGTACAGCAGTGTATAGCCATCTTGACTATTATCCTGGATATCCAAATTGCTCTAAAAGATATGATGTAGAAATAAGTATTTTAAGATTTTTGATAATTCCTCATGCAACAGAAGCAGGAATCTACAGATTCCCTGCAGCATCAATAGGAGACTTGTGTAGTGCTAGCAGAGAAACATTAAACTCCATATCAACTCAATTTAACATATTTATGGGTGATTTCAATGTGAACTGGTTAAATGATACGCAGAGTACACCACTTTACAATTTGTTCATAAAAGACAATTATGCTTCTAGGCAGTTAGTAACATGTGGTACTACTGACAGTAATAATGAGGTGCATTGACCACATCTATACTAACCTACTTCAAGAACAAGTAAACATTCAAAATTTTATAAAGGCTGATAGTTTCTAAAGAAACTGTTTGGCGCAGCGTCGGTGGGGGTAACGAAATAATTTGAATATATCAACAAAGTTGAAATGGTAAATTGGCCACCGTTACGGTTATGAAAGCTGACGTTTCGAGCGTTAGCCCTTCGTCGGAGTGAATGACGAAGGGCTAATGCTCGAAACATCAGCTTTTATAACCGTAACGGTGGCCAATTTACCATTTCAACTTTGTTGATATATTCAAAATTTTAGATACTTACTTTTCAGACCATAAAATCATCTGTGCTTTACTGAACTGCTTTATTTAAAATTAGTATTATGACTTTATTAAAATTGTTAATAAATAGTAAGTTTGATAATAGTTAGATCCTTGTGAACTGTGTTCATAACATGATGTTATCGTTGTGTATAGATTTCATCCAAAATCACTAAAAATGGCTCGAGAGCAATTAATTGATGTGTTAACTCATTAGCTATGGTTTTCAGTTGTACCATGTTTTCCATTGTTTGTTTTACTAGACATATCATACATTGGCAACTTTGGCAACAAAAAAAAGTGAGAGTTTCTCTGAACACTACAATTAAATAAACTAAACATTATCTACCGGTAATATGTGATTTTTTTTTTAACAGGACAAAAGTAATTTCTTCTGTCATTTGTTGCTGAATTGTTTTATGAACAATTCTTAGTCTTAATAAATATATGATAGATAGAAGTCCTCATGGACTGTAAATAGTGCTCAATAGATTAAATTAGAGCTGAGCATATATATAAATAGAAATTGAATTGAAAGGGGGAACTTGTAAGACTTCAACCGTTTATTGTTGCCGACCAGTTTCGCTGTCTGGCTTCGTCAGGGAGTTACAATTGAAGTGGTCCTAATTATGTATGATTAACTAATTGGTCCTTTGACTTCATAATTAGCTAACTACTTGCAGGATGTGCATGAAAAATTACAGCAAAAAAAAAAGATTCACCTTTAAAAATTCTTGTGCATGTACTCATTGCTGGGCTGTAAAATTTCTATCCCTAAATGTTGAGAGACCCAATCAACGTTTTGTATCCTAATTGTTACAAATAAGTGCAGTTTTTGCTAGTGTCTCTCGAAGGAAAAATCTAACGTAGTTTTGTCTTTGAATAACGCTTGAAATCTTGAAAAAGTCCACCAAAGCATATCTTGTTTGTCTGTGCTACGTCGTCGTTCTTGTCGCTCGTGAAGTCAATGACAAAATTATCGACCGAAGTCCCGAAATCATGGAATTTCATTCATATGTGTATATTTTTGTAAATGGGCAAAATAAAACATTCATTCATTATCATTTATTTTGCAGAAACACGATGAGAAAGTTAAAAGTGTCTGCTATTCTCCAAAGAAAAGAACCAACTTGCAGCAAGCCTTCGTTAACAAATCCCCAGTTAAAATACAAGGAGTGAAACGCTTGTCCCTAACAAGCTTTTCATCTGATGCTGAACCACAGTACAAAATCCATAGGATGCCAAAATCACTCCTACAGAAATAAGCTTCTCGTTTAACAAAAAATTCTCATCTCAGCTGCACAAAGTTAAAGGATGTTTCAGCCTAAATATCTACGAAACTGTTGACAGAGAAGTCAAAGTGATGAAGAAACCTGAAAACAAGACCAGTGACTGTTGTGCATGACCAAAAAACGATCTGGAAGTATGAGTGTATCGTTGCAGATAGTACTGACTCTATTAAAGTAGTTTTATGGGAAAGCATTTATATTAGCTGTGGTTACACTAGACCTTTTGCCCACGGGAAAGTGAGACTACCCACGGGAAGTCTTTGTTTTGTGTGTGACCACTATTCCCACAGTGAAACTGCCCATGGGAAATCGCTATGGATACATCAAAAAGAACAAAAGAATTACCCATGACGTTTCACGAACCAAGTCGTAGGGTTTAGCAGTGGTTTATCTAACCACAAGAGTAGTTCAACCAGTCGGATGGAAGGAAATAGTAAATCCGGAAACCGCAGCACATGCTGGGCAGTTTTGTGGTGTTGCGCTGAAATCACGGCAAATATCCTCGCAAGTACCAAATTCAAGACACGCGGCATCAAACATGACCAACTTCGAGGTTCACATTAAGTATATTTTACTCGTCTTTGCTCTGAATACTCCAATGAAAACCATAAGTTTCGCGGTTTGTGATCTCCATGATGAATTAATTTTCCGCCAAACACTGCTAGGTCAAAAGTTGACCTCGGGTAATTATTTGCGATGTAACCGGAGGATTAAACCTGACCGGAAACCCAAACCCATCGCAACCCAAGGTTATTACCCACTGGGTTAGATCGGGAAGGAGGTGAGTGTAACCACAGCTATTGATAAAGTACACGCTGAAAATAGTTGCAAGTTTCAAAATGTAACAATTCGATTGTTTGATGATGAAAGGTTCCTTAATACCAACAAGGACATTATCGTTGCTGAAATTCCCAACTTACCTGATGTCAACTCGGAAACCAAAGAATTCCAAGACAACTTAATCACAGGACAATGCTTAGTTCTAGTTAACAAAAACTTTCGTGTCTTGTTTGTAATACTGAAATTGCTCAAATGGTTTGGAATGAAGAAACAATAACATGTAACAACTGCAAGGTAACAAACTGATTGCCATCGTAGTTATGAAAAACACTGACACTGGTGAACTGTTGAACTTCGCCAATTTCAACGATGGTATTGAAAGTTTTCTTGAAACCATCTGCTGCAAAACATCCGTCAGTGAAATCGAATTACAAGAACTTCAAATGTTATTTTTTAAATGTGGCCTCAAAAAGGTGCTTATTAATCATTCCTCACGCATAATTTTACAGTCTCTTCTTTTATTTTATATATAACTATGAGTTCTTTTTTTTTAGAACGTTATTGCATTGTTGGATTAATTAAGAACACTGACTTTAACAATGCAATTGAAAACTTGTTTTTTATCGTTTTCATTATGAATGTTATACCTATTTCAAAACGTTATATTATTGGATTATGAGTTCTTGTTTTTATAACATTATATTGTTGACACTTATTATTATATTATTATAGTTCTGACTCAGGTCAAATGTCCAATTTCACGTACTTTAACAATGGAATTGAAACCTTGTTTTTCATCGTTTTCATTATGAATGTTATACCTATTTCAAAACGTTATTATATTGTTGGATTATGAGTTCTTGTTTTTATTACGTTATCATATTGATTACACCTATATGTATATATTATTATATTGTTGACACTGGTGAATTATCCAATTTTAAGTGCTTTAATAATGGAATTGAAACCTTTTTTATTGCTTTGACAGCTTTTATTTATTTATTTATTTATTTTTTGTTAGAGATATGAGTTAAAGGGTATATTTGACATGTACCATCAGACGTTATAGAGTGGATTAATCTTGAGGGCTTTTTTTTTAATGGTTATCAGTGGCTTATTACAGCTGATAACACTATTTACCTTTTTTTTTCCTAAGTTTTTTCTTTAATAACTTGACCGTTGAAATTAAGATCTTGGAGCCTTTAGGGTTTAAATTTTCTTTGGAAAGCCTGCCTGTTGAACCCCTTCAGTTTGAAGTGGCCTCCTTTGTGTGTGTGTGTGTGGGGGGGG